TCCCCTCATCCAGAGGGCGGCTCAGAAACTGGCTGGCCCTGGCTGGGAACGACATCACCAAGTCTGCGTAACCCATAAAGGGACCCAAATGCCATCCGCACAAAGACCTCACAGGCCCCCAGGCCAGGCTGACGGGAAGGAGCCGGACCCCACGGGCGGAGGGAGGGTCCGCAGGGAAGCTGGCCATGTTACGCTTGCCTGTCCCAAGACTGCCCGGCCCTTGACACACACACACACACAGAATGTCCCTCAGGCTGCCACTCCTGCTGCTGGGGGGGGGGAATGAATCCGTGGGGAAGGAAAGCGGGCTGACTGCCCAAGGCACTAAGCTCCCGAACGCCCCTGCCCACCCCTCACCTGGCTCCCGGAGGGTCAGTGCCAGGCTCAGAGCGCTCTTCCTCCTCCTCCTCCTCCTCCTCTTCCTCCTCGCTGGAGTCCAGGTCCTCGCTGGAAGAGGAGTAGTCCAGGGCCTTCTTGAGGGGCTTGGGGGCTGCCTCCTCCGGGCGCTCCTTCAGCAGCACAAAATTCTAAGGAGGGAGAGCGCAAGAGGGGTGGGGTGGGGTGGGTGGGGGTCGCGGGACTCCCTCCACATTAACACCAGGAGTGGCGAAGAGAGCAGGCCAGCCCACCACCAAGCCAGCCCAGGGGCCAGAACCTGCTGCCAAGGATGGCGCGGAGCAGCGGGCCCACTCTGGGGAAGGGGCACACACAGAGCGGAGGGCCTGGCCCAGTCCCCCACCCCTCAACTGCCCCCCAACACCGCAGGCAGGCAGGCAGGCAGGCAGGCCTGGGCCTTAGCAAGCTTCTGACCTTCCTGAAGCTGGGCCGGCCTCTGGACCTTTCGCCCCTCACCTCGGCCTGTGCCAAGAATGATACCCAAATCCACTCACCCAAACCTACTCCTGCATGGGGCGTCTCTCTCTGGAGGGGGCTGTGGGGGGCAGCTCAGGGGGGCAAGGTGCCTTCAGAGGGGCATGGCTGGCACCTGCTTCCTTTCTCACACGCCCTGTTGTTTCAGGGCAGGACCCCCTCCCCCCCTGCTAGGGTAGCCATCGGGGCTGTCCTCCCATGCCGGCCCCTCCAACACCAGCCACCCCCAGCACTAGAACCTGAGCCCACCCCTGTTTCTCCCCTCCCCACCAAGAAGGATAAGATCCAAAGGAGGTGGGTGAAGCCAAGGAGGTGGGTGAAGCCAAGGAGGGGGGTGAGTGCAGAGGACTTGGGCAACCAGGAAGGAGGGGGGGAGACGATGCACTGACTCTGGTCGGGGGATGCAAAGAGGAGACGCCCAGGGACCGAGCCCAAAGCAGGAAGAGAAAGTGGGTGTCGGGAGGGGAGAGTGAGGGGCCTTGCAGGCGGGGGAAGCACTAACCTCTCCGATTGCCCGCTTATAGCTCTGAGCCGTGCGGAAGGAAGGAGGGAAGGAAGGAAAGGAAGGAAAGAAGTAAAGAGGAGAAGAGAAAGAGGAGAAGGTAAGTCGTGGCCACCCAGTCTCTTGGCCCTGACTTCTCCCTGCTGCCCAAACCACGGGCGGCCCCTCCACCCTGACCTGAGAAGGTTCCCCCCCCCCGAGTTTGGGGTTTTCATAAAGAGTCCCCAGCCCCCACAGAGGGGGGGGTGGAGAGAAGGAGATTTTCCCTTCTCCTTCAAGGAAGCCCAACCAGATCCTCCCCAGCCAGCTGAGACCAAGATTGATTCTGTCCCCCCCCCCCCGCAAGGAACGGGGGGGGAAA